ATGTCAAATAATTCTGGCTTAAACATGTATATAAATGTACTCTTTATCAGACTATATTGTCCCGAAATTTAGAAAATTTCTATTTAAAACAAAATCTTGGTTGGAACAGCCGCTTCCCTACAACTTTAAACCCCTTTTTTGATTTTTCAAACAAAAACAATTTAAGTATGACATTTTTTGAAGTTTCATTTTACCGTCCAAAATTGACATTAAAAACTCGCTCTTTGCATAAACCAATAATGGAACAAAATTCACTCTGTAATCAAATGCCTGGCTGATCTATCTGAGCCCTAATTGTTATTAATTGAAAATAAATCCTGTAATCTAATCAAGTATTCTTTCCTATTGACTTATAAAAGGGTTGACAATGATAAGATAAAGAATATAAGTAGCATTATCACATCCCAACAAGGAGAACATCTACTAAATATTGCAGCCTTTTTCTCTCTCCTCATCACCTTCAGCTTGATGCTGTAAACGATTTGTCCACAATCTGCACACGAGAACTTGGACATGAATCCTGTTTTACTTTCAGACAGCAGCGCTTTGATCAATAAGCCTTTCAGAGGAAACAGTGAAAACAGTTTGCAGAGTCTCATAAACAGATTTGGAACAGGATTTACTGCAGTCGAGTCCCCTGCAGGAAGAGCACGGCCTCCTGAGAAGCAGAACCGGATCAGAAATCATCTTTGGCCACTGAGGAGGGAAATCTAACAGGACGGCTGTTGCCAAATGTTAAGAAGTGATGCAAACGTTGCACTTGGCTGTCGAAGTGGCTTTGGGTTTTTTCACATCTCTGTGGTTTGTTCCAAAGCCTTTTATAAGGAAGAGACGCTTCTTTTTGCAAAAAGGAAATTATTTTACCGGATTGTTTTTGCAGATGAAAGAAACAGATAATATTTAATATCATCCTGTTTCAGCAAAGGTTACCTTTAGAGATGAGCCAATCAGGATTTTCCAGGCTATATTTTAGTTTTCTGTACAATTTTAACCTCAGTAGGAAGAAGGATTGCACTCTTTAAGGAAGCGTTGGGTTAGTGGTTAGAGCCTTAGAGGGCTCTACAGGCAGGGTCGCTGAGCATCACCCCTTTGGTGATTTCCATTTCACTCTGAATTTCCGACTTCCAAGCAGAACATTTCAACATTACCAGCCCTAAAAGTTGGAATTATCAGACCGAAGTCAGAGCAACATGAAAGAACTCGACTTCAACATCTTACAATGACTGTTTTTAGCTGTTTTTTAAAATTTAGATGACATTTATTCAGTCATTTGCTAACATTAAGTTAGCAAATTTGTTATTCACAAATTAGACTGAATTTGATTGATCTTATCAACTAACTACTAACTACTAATAAAAAAAGGAACTTTTCTCTTGCGTTAATAGGATCATTCCATACATTAAGAGCTAATATTTTTTTTACAATATGTTGAAAAAAAGAGAATCAGTTAGGCCTGAAACAATTAATCAGATTAATCTTAATCAATTAATTAAATAACTCATTTAGTAAACGATAAACATTAACAGGAGTATAAATACTGTAAAATATGCCTTTAGCTGTCAGATCAACCCACTTAGACCTGTAATTATACCAGAATTAGTATTTGCACAGATAATGGCAGTACCAACAAATAGGACACCAATACTATTTAGAGAGCCAAAAGTTTATTTAACTATTGTCACCCATTCCAGGTAGGCAATAAAAAGTTCTACTGGATTCACTTTGTATTA